GCAGTGATCCCAGAAGAATATTTTGATGAAGGGAGTTGAAAATAGTATCTCACTGTAGTTTTTCTGGGGATGGGAGATGTTTTGGAAATGTATGCCGATGGGTAGGAAGGTGTTCCAGATTAAGAATCAGCTCAACAGGCATTTCTTAAGTGCTTATTTTGTGCAAAGCACTGTTTTGGTTCTGGTAATACCAAAATGAAGGTTAGAACCCTTGTCCTTGATGATCTTTTAGACATTGAGGGGAAATTGACAACTAATAGTATGACTTAAGGACTAAGAGGAAAGAATACACATGGTGCAGTGGGAGAGAAGAGGAAGTCCTAGTTTAACCTGTGGTAGCTAGAGGACACTTCCAAGAGTTAACGTTTGTACTGAACCTTAAGAACCAGGAAGTTAGCTGGCAAGAAATAGGGAAGGTAAACCTAGGCAAACTCCCAGGAAGAGAAGAGAGCATAGTGTATTTGGGAAATTCCAGAATAAACTTCCTTGTGGCAGGAATACTGTTGGATGTATGACATCTTGGGGGGGTTATGAAAATTGAGACTGGAGATGTAGAATAGGCTCAGATCTTAAAAGGCCTTGTATTTCCATCTAAAGGAGTTTGAAGATGATGATTTTAATTAAGGAGAGTACAGCAGAACTAAATTTAAATTTAAAAATAGAACTATGGTAAAAATGGGGTGGGTTTCACTAGAGGCTAGCAGACTAATGAAGTTAGTAATCTGGGTGAGTAATGAAAGCCAAACACATGGTGATCACAATGGCGTGTATGCCGTAGTTTGTCTTACTTATTTTTGGAAAGAATTCCCCCAATGAAGGAGCTTATTCTGACAAGAGTGAGGAAGAGAATAGCAGTAACATTTAATAAATGTGGAATCAACAGATAGTTTTCAATAAATATAGGAACAGATAGTTCAATAAATATTGTAACAATTCAGTTTTAGAACACTTACTTGCATATGTCCGTTGTCTTGAAGGAGAGAAAGTAGAGAAAAAACTTATTTTATGAAAAGTTTTAATTCCATGTCTTAGAGTGATGCTCAATTCTTATTAAATCAGGGTATTTCAATTTTCTAGTAAGGGAATGCTGGGTGCTCTGTAGTGAATAATCAAACTATAGGTTAATTCCTCAACAGAATAAAAAAATGAACCTTTATGATTAAAATAAAGTAGTAAAACTGTTAACTTTTCACTGCTTTTAAAAGTGTTATTTGTGTGTGATAGAACATCTGGAAAATTTACAACAAAAATAAAAATTAACTGTAGTCTCAATCCAAAGAAAAAACAATGTAATAAAATAAAACCATTTTTCTTTAAATGATAGGTTGGGTACCAGTAGAGAAAAACAACAAACAGTATTGCTGGCATTCCTCTGTAGTTAATTATGAATTTGAAATTGCTCTGGTATTGAAGCATCATCCTGATGATCCAGGACTTTTGGAAATTAGTGCAGTGCCGCTATCTGATCTGTTAGAACAAACATTGGAGCTTATAGGAACAAATATCAATGGAAATCCATATGGTAAGTAAAGCCTTTTTCTTTTTCAGCTATAATAAGTCATTTATAAAGACAACTTGCTAGGGTCAACTAAGAAGAACAGAATGCACACACATAAAGAAATGACAACACGTAACTTCCTAAAATTAAAGCTATTTCTATTAAGTTTTTGTCCATGGAACAATACATGCATGATTTTAACCATTTTGATTTACTAATCTGAAAGGTTGATTTTAGCCTCTCATTCTTTCCCGTGATAGCATGTCAGGAATAGCATACCTTTCAACTTTGTATGAAAGGTAATCTTCTCAGGTGTAACTTTCCATTGCTTTTTAAAATTTAGGTGAACTAAGTTGACTGAAAAAGTGCTTTTCATGGCTAGGTGTTCAGCATTAATTAAAATAGCTACGAGTAAATAAAAGACTTTTCATGATATGCTATGATAAGCACTTCATGAAAAAGAAAAAAAAAGTCTGCTTTTTATGAGCTTTCCATTTGGCGAAGGGGGGTTAAAAAAAAAAAAAAGGCAACAAATTGCATATCGAGCACCGAAATATATATCACAATGAATAGAGTACAAGTCCTGAGGGCACTAAGGAGTACATTGTTGACAGGGGGATGACAAGATAGACCAATGAACATTAAAGTTGGAAAAGCACTAATCAAACAGATCACAAGCAGATTGGCAAGTATAAAGAAGCTAAAATAGTAATTATACACTTCATCAGAGGTGTAGCAGGACTGTTTGGCAAAAATTCAGTGATAGTTGAATGTGGCTGACAGTATACAACAGGGATCAACAAACTTTCTGTTGAAGGCCAAATAGTAAATATTTAGGCGTGTGGCCACACCTATGGAATGGGCCATATGCAGTATGTAAATGAAAGGTGTGACTATGTTCTCATAAAACTTTATTTATAAAAACAAGGGTCTGGCTAGATTTGGCCACAGGTGTGTAAGTACATGAGGATATAATTTGAAATTAATGGGATAAGGTGCTACTTTTTCAATTGGAGAGATAAATTTTCTCATTCTCTCTGAAAAGTTCCTTTGAATAAGTATGGCTAACGGCAAATTTTCTCACTTAGGGTTAGGAAGCAGGAAGCATCCATTACATCTTCTTATACCACATGGAGCATTTCACATAAGAAATCTGCCTACACTGAAGCACAATGATCTGTTGTCCTGGTTTGAAGGTTGCAGAGAGGGTAAAATTGAAGGAATAGTATGGCATTGTAATGATGGCTGTTTAATCAAGGTAATAGCAGAAAATAGCTTGTGGGATTATGTTGTTTTATATTCCTGCAATAAAGTAAAAATGACACTAGAATTCTATCAAGGAATAAAAATTGCCGTAATTCTGATTTGTAGTAAAGTAGTTTTATTAGCTTATCTCACATACCACCATTCTTTATATGCACTGTGCATTCTGTGGGGCATTGGTTCTGGAGATGCACCTTACAATTAAGAGTTGCATGATCAAAATCTCTGGAAAACCCTGCATACTACAGTCCTCTTCTTGGAGATTGATGTTACACATTAGTACTCTTTGAGATCCTGCACAGTTTTGTTTGATTCGGTATTTCCCAAACTTACTTGATTATAGAATCTTTTGAGTAAAAAAAAAGTGTCAAGGTGACAGCTGATAGAATAAATTATATATTTTGCCTTTTACACCTGTCTCCTGTACTTGTCTATTTGATTTCTTATAGGTATCTGAAATCTATAATGTTCAAAACTAGACCTAGACATATTAACTCCTTGAATCCACATAATTCACTGGAGCCAGAAGATTGGATATAATTTTTAACCTCTGTTTTTATTACTTCATACATCCCATTATCAGTTCTTAAAGACTCGGAACTACTAATCTGTCTACTTCTCCCCAACCAGTTGTAACAACTTTTAGGCAAAAGTTCATGTTTATTATCACTCTCCTAAACAGTATTTTTCAGTCTTACCCTTGTCCTGTCCATTCTTCACAGGTCACTGAAAATGACACTTCCCTGCATAAAACTGTTTAGTGACATTAAGATTGTTCATCACCTGGCCCTTCCTTAAATTTGCAGAACCATCCTGCCCACACATAAACACCTCTACATTGTTATGTTTTAACCATACATAACTTTTTCAGTAAGAGCAAAAAAACACCATTCATTCTTTTACCTTGGGTTCTATCATGTGATATTCCCTTTAGTTTGAGTGCCTCTCCACCCAAATTTTCAACTGCTAGCTCCTGTAGTCAGCAACAGACTATCATTCATCAGATTTTTATGGAGACCCTGATTATGTTCCTGGCATGTTTCCAGCTGCTGGAAATACAGAATCAACAAAACAATGTCTCTGCTTTCTTGAAGCTCACATTCAGGATAGACAGTAAACAAGTAAATATGTAATATGTCAGGAGAACACCTAGGGAAAAAAAAAAGGTAAGAAAAAGTAGAGACTTAAACACATGCCTGGCAGATAATGCCAAATCCGTTGCCATCAAGTCAATTGGCGACTCACAGCAACCTATAGGACAGGGTATAACT